CCCCCCCCCCCCCCCCCCCGCCGTTGGCTGCTGTTGGCTGGGTATGTGGCCATTTGCCCTGTCACGTGGCAGCTGGTGCTGGAACAGAAGACCCCCCTGCTTAGGGGGCTGCTCTACAGTGGTGAGGGCCTGCTCACAAAGCAGACCCTAGATCTGCACATCTGCAGAACAGTTGCTGCTAGGGGCTGATCAAGATCTCAGCCCCCTTTCCCCTACAGCTGGCTTGCTGCAGTGAAGGCCAAGACCCTCCTGGTCTTGGTGTACCTTGTGCCCTTGGAGACACCAAGGGCCAGGTATCACTCCCTTCTCCCCTCTCCCTCAACTAACCCACTCTCCTTACCTCTCCTCTCTCCTCTTATTCACCCCTTCTCTTTCCCCCACCTTCTACAGCATCTTTTCTCTCCTCCTTTTACCTTCCCCACCCCACCTTTCTCCCAACACACAGGCTTTTACTCTCCTTTCTTTATTTCTTTTCTTTTCTTCCTCCTTCTTTTTTCTTTGCCTCTTGATCCCTGTCCACCTTTCCCCATCCCTCCTCTCCCCCAACTACCACCACACCATCCCCCCTACCTCCCACTTCATCTTTTTCTCTCCCCCCACCTATTTCTTTCTTTTCTCCCTCACTTTTCATTCCCCTTCCCCCTTACTTCGAAATTTTTTCTGTTTTTCTTTTTTCCACCTCTCTTTTGATTTATCTTTTCTCTTTTCAAAAAATTCCAAAACTCTTCTTTCCCACCCTCTTTTCTTATTTTTTGATTTATTTTATTTATTCTGAAAATTCGAATTTTTTGGCGGCAACCCTAAATCTGATTAAGTGTTAGCCTTTCTTGCTCTCGGCACACGTTTTGACCTCGTGGGGGTAACGAAGTGCTGCCGAAATTTTCTGATTTTCTCTTACTTAGTCTTTTCGGCACACTTCGACCCCAGGGGGGTAATAAAATGCTGCCAAAATTTTTGAAAAATCAGATAACCCATTTCTCCCCACCTCCTCACACACTTATTTACTTATTTATTTATTCATTATTTTTTTATTTATTTTCTGATTTTTTTATTTTTTATTTATTTATTTGCGGCATCCCTAGTGTGCTCACCTTGGTCTCTCCTTTTCCCTTAGCACATCCTTGACCCCGTGGGGGGTAGGGAAATGCTGCCGAAAATTTAAAAAAAATAAATATTGTTTCCCTTCACATCTCTTTACTTATTTCTTTAATTATTTTTATTATTTATTTATTTATTTATTTATTTTTATTTTCTCTCGAAATCTTGCTGTTTATTTATTTTTCTCCCGTCCCCCCCCCCCTATGCTTGCTATTTTACTTTCTTGATTAGGTCACCGGTACCCTACCCTAACCACTTAAACCTCGGCTAGGGTTTTCTTAGGGGTTTTGTAGGGTTTAGGGTTCCTCAACCCCCCCCTACTTCCCCGTTCTCTTCGGGCATCCTGGACCCGAACCACCCCTCCCCCTTTGACGGCGCCCGTGCTAGCCTTGCTAGCGCCGTTCGCCGCTTTCTACCGCGGATTTCCCCCTACGCGCTCCGCTCACGCGGACCTTTTCTGACCCCCTCCAGTCCGGTCCGTCATCTCCCCATGGTCGACGGTGCGTCACACGCCGCCGACACGGCGATGACCACGACATCGGGCTACATACCCATGCCGGCGGACCAGGGCCATCATCCCTAGGGGGATCTACACACCCTCCTCACCTC